AATATATTGCATTACACAAATCTGTTGCAGAAGACCTTTTTAAAGTGTTAAAGAGAAAAGATGTCACTTTGAGGACTAAGGTTTGCCTGACCCAAGCCATGGTATTTTTAATTGTCTCATATGCGTCTGAAAGCTGGATAATTAGTAAGGAAAACCAAAGGATAACTGATGCACTTGAAATATAGTGCTGGGGAAGAATACTGAAAAGTATCATAGACTACCAGAAGAACAACAAATCTGCCTTGGCTAGAAGCACAGCCAGAATGCTCCACAGAAGCCAGGAGGATGAGATTTATCTCACATGCTTTGGATATATTATTAAGAGTGACCAGTCCTTAAAGAAGGACATCATGCTTGGTAAGATCATAAAAAAAGATTAAGGCCCCAGAAAATTAGAAATAGAAATACCTTATGGTCCAGCAATTCCTCTACTTGGTAAGCATTCACAAGAAATACAAGCCATAACACGAGCAGATATATGCACACCAATGTTCATAGCGGCACTATTCACTACAGCAAAAAAGATGGAGGCACCCTAAGTGCCCATTAATGGAAGAATGGATAAACAAACTGGTATTATACACGCAATGTAATACTATGCTACCTTGAAGAAAAACAAAGAAGCTGTAAGCCACCACATAACATGTATGAACCTTGAGGACATCATGCTGAGTGAAATTAGTCAGTCACTAAAGGAGAAATTCGTTAAGATTTTCAGTGACTAAATATTAGGAAGTAGTTCGTCACTCCTTCCTAGTCTGTCTTTGTCTGGAAGCTCATCTGAAACCTGTCCACCATGGGTTACCCTGCTGGTACTTAAAATACCTACGGCATAGCTTCCAGAATCACAGCAACTCGCAAGCCACCACAGTACGACAAACTGACAGATGAGGGGTATTTTCAGTTACCGCATATGCATGCGAAAGCTGGACAGTGAATAAGGAAGACCGCAGAATTGATGCTTTTGAGTTATGTTGATAGAGGAGAATACTGAAAGTGCCATGGGCCACCAAAAGAATCAACAGATCTGTGTTGGAAGAAATGCAGCCAAAGTGCTCCTTGGAGCCCAGGATGGCCAAACTTTGTCTCTCATACTTCAGACATATTGTCAGGAGGGTCCAGTCGCTGGAGAAGGATATCATGTTTGGTAAGGTGGAGGGTCAGAGAAAAAAAGGAAGACCACCCCCTCAGTGATATGGACTGACAAAATGGCAACATCAATGGGCTCAAGCGTGGCAACAATTGTGAGGTTGGCCCGGGACCAGGCGGTGTTTCGTTATGTTGTGCATAGGGTCACTATGAGTTGGTAGCAACTCGATGGCACCTAACAACAAAAAAAGGAGAAATACTGCATAAGGTCATTATTGTAAAAGCTTAACAAAAGATACCCACACTAAAAGGAAGAAAAACGAAAAATTCCTTGTTGGTTATGGGGGGAGGGGGACACAAGGTAGAGCACACGGTATGGAATAGACACATCACAGTTTGAGTGTTGGAGTGGGCAATACACAAGAATGGGAGGGGGATAGAAGAACAAGGTAGACAGGAGAACACTTAGGCAGGCTTGCATGGGCTAAATGGAACAGAGGTAAACAGTGATGTATGCTCAACCTTGGAACAAAAGGGCTCTGTTATACAGGGACTGAGGAATAGTCTGAATGGGTAAAAGAGGGGAAATAAGGTTAAGAAGCTTTACTGTCTTATGAATACTCGTTTCCCTTGCCTACTATTGTAAAACAGACAATTGAGGGGGCTCGAAAGACATATCCAGAAACATGATTATAGAAAGCTTATACGATCACCTTCAGCCTATAACTGATTGGAATACCTAAAAGGGGTGATAGAACTTGCCCAGTGAAAGAGGCTTCTTGCAGAGCCTTTGTAGGATTTAAGACCTTAGGTGGAACCCTGATCCCCATCCAGAACCTTCTGAGATGGGAAATTCCCACATGAAAAGACAAGCAGATGAGCCTGGAGCAGCTACAGGAACAGAAAATACTTCTTGAAAGAAAGACCAGCAGGGAAAAACAAAAACAAAAACGGCAGTCTGATTGGCTACTAAAACAACAAGCAAGTTGTTCACTGGGGAGCCATCAAAGCAAGCAATCAAGTCCCTTCAGGGCAAATCCCCTCTCAAGACTGAAATTCAAAAGGGTATACACAAGCAGGCACGTAAGTTTGCTGGTAACCACGTTGGTCTACTGGTGAGAGGAAGTTGGGGAAAAGCAGCAATGAAGAGGTATGCTGAGTCCAACTAAGTTACATAAAAGACCCCCATCGACCTACAGTATGGTGAGAGCTGGTTGACCCCAAGTACAGTGAGACCTGGGGACTTCTGAGCCCATGGACAAGGGCATGGCCACAGAGGGATAGAGCTGAGACTGAAGCATCCAACTGATATGAAGTGAGGGGATATGCACAGGGGGACCCAAACTTGCAAGTAGTGCCCATTGCACCTGGCTTCAATGGCTATATGTTCAGAACCTGACTAGAGGAAGGAAAAGAGGGGGAAATTTTTTTTTATTATTATTATTAAATGATAACAAGTGTAAATTGCTACAATCTGATGAACTTGGCCTATACTTACAGATGTAGTAGATTAAAATATCAACCAAGAGGGAAACAAACTTTACAGCAAGGATCATTCCCAACCCCTCTGCACACAGGGTTGTTAAGGATGGGCAAATTAGACACTGGCTACCTAACATTGGGAGTTGTAAAGACACGAAGTGACTGGCTTATAAGTTTTCAAGAGGGAGTTTAGATTCAGAGTGTGCAGGGAAAGGTAAAATCCCCACTGAGTGGTTTTCATCCTGTCTAGACAGGTCTGGTAGAGTCCTGATGTGGCACTGTGGGCTAATGCATCAGACTGCAAAGTCATTTGAACTGCAAGGTCGGTGGTTCAAGTTCACCAGCTGCTCTTTGGAAACCCTATACAGGGTCACTATGGGTCAGAATCGACAGCACTTAACAACAAGAAGAAGACAGGTCTGGTGAAAGGAGATGGAGACAAGACTCTCATGATTCAATAGTGAGTAATTGTTATCATGACTGATTGTGATTGTCACCACTGTAAAGGTATAAGTTTTGTAGCAAAAAGGGGTGAGTGGTAAATCTTACAGACCCAGAGCAGAGGTCTCTGGGACCATCAAGGGAGAAAAGCAGGAGCCAAGAACCAGAGAAGCGGACATGCCAGAGATGGAGGCAGAGATGATGACATGGAGAAACAGAGCAGCTGAGGATTCTAGACTCATAGAGAGAGAGGGGCTGTAGGCTGGCAGCCAGGGGGCAGGTTTGCATGTTGTACCCTTTGGCTGTTTGAATGGTTATATATTCCTGAGTACTTCAGTATACACAAAAAAAGACAACAACAAGAGAATAGAATTAAATACTATTGAATGATGAAGCACGCAAGGGATTGTAATCATTGCAATGAAACAAATACAAAAGGATGAGTGTAAAACTAATGTTCCCCCCATGTAATCTATCACTCAATTCACAACACAAACTTTAAAAAAAAAAAAAAAGAGGAAGGCCCTCAAAGTGATGGATTGACATAGAGGCTGTAACAGTGGTTTCAAACATAACAACAATTTTAAGATGTCACAGGATCAGGCAGTGTTTCCTTCTGTTGTACATAGGGTAGAGTCGGAGTCAATTCAACAACATCTAACAACCTCTGTCTCAATGTACTCTGATCTCCTTATGACTAGGAAAGGCATTTATACCTGGGAATATTAAGTAGAGTCTAAACCTGAATAAAAAGAGCATCAGTATAGGCTAGCATTTCATATTCTGAACTTTCCAGCATTGCACTGTATGATGGGAGTTATACCTTACACAATACTTAAATTTCAAAATTACTGCGTAAGAAGTAAAATCTCAGAAAGTCAAAATTACCCCCCAACCTCCAATAAATCAATATGAGCCATCTCTCAATCTAACACTGCTAGTTTTTCCTTAGAACTGTCACAGATCACTGTTTTCTTCAGGTATGCATCAGCTAAGGTAATATCTTGCAATTAGGCATAATTGTTAGGACAAAAATGGGTATTTAAGATTTGAATCATGAATAGGCCTGATTATCAAGAAGGATGTGCAGAGGGACCAACAGCACCCTCAGGCTTTCCCTACCACTCTCGGCCCAGAATACATCATCACTGTGTGGAAGACAAGTGAACTGCTAACACAATTTAATTTCCCCTTGCCCCTCCCCACTTTTTTCCTTCCTTTGTAGAGACCAAATACCTGAATCATGGAACTTAAATGTTAAAATATACATACAATTTTCCTTAAATCAGCTAGGTTGAAAACATTCTTGAGAAACTGATGTAGTCAACGTGGTATAGTGTAAAGATTTTAAATATGTAATGACTTAAGGTAGAAGACCTACTGAAGTGCTAGATGTACGTTTTACTAGCACTATGTGGCCTAGGAGTCTTGGTGTGGTGCTGTAGACTAAGCAGTAGACCATAAGGTTGGTTTGAACTGCAAGGTAAGCAGTTCAAAGCCACCAGTCATTCCTTGGAAAAACCCATATATAAGGACTCTATGACTCAGAAGCGACTCAATGGCACTTAACAACAACATGCGACCTTACAGAGATAGCTTAATCTTAGCCTATTTTCTTATTGGCAAAGTTAAATCCACTCCACAGGATTGTAATAAAAATTAAATTAGATAAAATATGGAAAACATTACATGTTTTGTATGTATGCAGTTTATAAATATGCACATATCATAAATGAAAGAGCATATAGTTTTGAAATTAGAAAACATTATAGTTTGCATTGTTCTGGTTTGGAATTTATAAACTTTTATACCTGCATGATTCTCACTGACTGAAAACAAAATATAAAGGACCTTAGGGATAATAACAAATCATAATTAACATGGTATTGGTACTACAATACATCAGACCCCAAATCTTTACAAGAAGTAGTATTCTAAACTAAAAATACAGTTAACAATATCTTAATAATGCAACAACGGCTTCTTACCTGTAGAAACTTTTTCACATCAGCAATAATTTCTCTGAAGACAAACTGGTCTTTCTGAACCTCAAGCCACCCCAACTTAGTTATTTTAGCAATGACTTGGACAAGAGCTTGGATGACAAAGGGAGCCAGCTTGGGTTGTGATGCCACATAATTCAGAATGTAGTTTCCTATAAAGAAAATATTCTGTGATCATTTGGACTTTTCAGTAATGGAATGTAAATTATGTGAAGAAAAAAGAAGTAGATAACATAATCTTGGATAAAAAGTTCATCCTTTTTTCCAAGACAAGTACTTATTTATATAGTCAGTTTTGTTACAAAGCTTATTTTGAAAACACAACTATATTCCAATGCAATTGATATACCAGGAGATAACTGAAACACACACAAAAAAATCACTTTTGTTTCTATGCAATTTCATCCACACAAAAAAGCTAGGTGAATGCAGAAAACATTAACCAGGCCAAATGAACCAAGCAAAGTTAAGAATACACAAAACATCTACTGTTTAGCATCTAGCTACCACCCATGTGTTGAGCCACATTCATCCTCCTCCAGGGTTATGATTTCCCATCTTATTTCAATAATCTTCCATCTGCCACTTCATAGCAAGTACCTCACACACTGAAACTCTTCTGAAATCCACTTCCATACACAAATTTAGAATCTTTTTGAAGATAAAATGATATATTTATTATAGTAACTCTGAATTTCTTAACCATTTAACATTTATAAAAGTATAATGCCACGGGGATGTGGAGAGACGGGGACACTCCTGCATTGCTGGTAGGACTGCAAAATGGTCCAACCTCTCTGGAAAGCAATATGGTGTTTCCTCAGAATGTTGAAAATAGAAATACCTTATGATCCAGCAATTCCTCTACTTGGTATTTACCCACAAGAAATACGAGCCATAACACGAGTAGCTATATGCACACCAATGTTCATAACAGTACTATTTACAATAGCAAAAAGATGGAGACAGACAAAGTGCCCATCAATTGAAGAATGGATAAACAAATTGT